CCCTGCGTGCACACCAGCTCCTCGCCCAGACTGCCAAGATGAACCAAAAAGCTGCTCGGCTTCCAGAGCGCCTTTCTCCCAGGGCCCCAGGGGGTTTGCAAACCCAGGCCGCCCGTCCTGTCCCCTCATCTGACACTGCCCCAATTCAGAGGAAGCACGGACACTTCCAGCTGCCCCGCCCAGAGCACGCTGTCTCGAGGCCTTCTGTCTTTGCCCACACCTCCCTGGGCAGAGCGTTCAAAGGTGCCAGAGCCTCCCAGAGCCCACTCTGGGCAGGGGCTTCCTTCCCCTCCCCGTGGTGCACGTGGTGTGAGGGGCTGGAGGACAGGAGCGGGGAGGGGGACCCGCCCCCAGCAGCAGCCACCTGATCTGAGTGCCTCTGTATGGTCCTGCCCAGTGGCAACCTTGGCCGCCACCCGGAGCACAGATGCCCTCCTGGGACCACCCCCCTTCTCTTTGTTTCTGTAAGAATAACCAAAAGCATTTAAACGTGTTACCTTTCTTTACACATACAGACTCCAAAAACAAAAACCAACACAAATCTTTATTTTTTTGATTTAAAAGATATAATGAAGAACTGTGGGGAGAATATTCATCGTGGCAGGTGTCTATCTGTAAGAAAAAAATATATATCTATATGTCATATAGCTTGTTAGCAGGTTTATTTTTTAAATGAAAGGTAAAAAAAAGAAATTGATTTGAAATATACACCACGAGATGTCCCATGGCCTGTCAAACTTGTCGGTATTTTATAAATAAACTTTTTTTTTTTTTGGAGTTCTGAAGCAACATTTATTCTTCTCCTTCTGGGAAAGTAACTGGGGATGATAGTGCGGGCTTTTGTTTCTTTTACACCTTTAGGATAATAGCCACTCGGATTGTACCGGATCAGAGGCCAAATGATAATGATTGATAATGCTGGCAATGACAATAGCTAACATTTGTGTGGCGTTTACGCCCTGCGAGACACTGCTGTTATCACTTTCCACTGATGAACTCAGGGAATGCTCATGACAACACCTTCAGCAGAGAAGCCGGATCAGGGAGAATTTAAGGGGCTTGCTTGCCCTTGAGAATTGGAAATGCCGGAGTTTGTACTAACGCAGTCTGGCTCTAGAGACACGTGCTGCCTCTGTGTTATTTTAAGGCAAGTTCCTTACCCGTGTTCATTTATTTTTATTTATGTATTTTTTACTATTTAGAGCGAGAGTGTGTGTGTGAGACGGGGGAGGGACGGAGAGAGAGGGAGGCAGAGGATCCGAAGTGGGCTCCATACGGACAGGCAGAGAGCCCCATGCAGGGCTCCAACTCACGAACCTCAAGATCATGACGATCGTGACCTGAGTGGAAGTCAGACGCTTAACCACCGGAGCCACCCAGGTGCCCGCCCCCCACACCCACCCCGTGTTCATTTTAATTCCTACCCAGCCACACCCCAGACGCTAAGGTTGGTTTAGTAAGAGCCACTGTGGTGCTTAGTGTAACTAACCTAGTCGATGCACCCAGGTCTTAAGTGAGGGCTTGAATCGTTGCATTTATGCGTGTGGTGCTATTGACGTGATACCGCATTTCTGTCACATACATTGAGTCAAACAGGAGAAAGAGAACGAAGGAAAAATGATTTTAATTGTGTAACGCCACCAGATGAATACACTTACTTAAATAGTCTACGTTGCTGTATAACGTACATCAGACATTCGTGCAAGAGGCTGCTCAGCACAATTAAAGCAGGGAACTTAAAATATACAAAAATATACTCTTAGACACTTCATTTTTACTTAAAACACAAATGCAAATTCATTCACCAATCTGTTAATGTTGGGCCATAGCGTTTTGCTTTTTCTCAGCATGCTCTCCGTGTATACAGCTCCCTGTTGTCTTTCTTCCATGAATCACAGCCATCGTGCATGGGCAGCGAATTCTAGTCTGTTTCTTTAAAGCAAAAGGGGGCACCTGGGTGGCTCAGTCGATTAAGCGTCCAACCCTTGATTTCAGCTTGGGTCAAGATCTCGCAGTTGGTGAGTTTGAGCCCCGCACGGGGCTCTGCACTGACAGTGCGGAGCCTGCCTGAGATTCTCATTCTCTCTCTCTCTCTCTCTCTCTCTCTCTCTCTCTCTCTCTCTCTCTCTGCTGTAACACACCCTTTTATTTTTGCCACTTTTCTTTTATCAAAGCATTCGGTGCAATTTTCAAAGAAATCACTGTTCTTTTGCACTCTTAGCCATTACATCATATTTAATTAAATTGTGGAATTACGGGGCACCTGGATGGCTCAGCTGGTTAAGCGTCTGACTTCAGCTCGGGTCATGATCTTACGGTTCGTGAGTTTGAGCCCCACATCGGGCTTGTGCTGACAGCTCAGGGCCTGGAGCCTCCTTCGGATTCTGGGTCTCCCTCTCTTTCTGCCCCTCCCCCACTCACACCCTGTCTCTCTCTGTCTCTCAAAAATTAACAAATGAAAAAAAAATGTAATTAAAAAATTTTTTTAAATAAATTATGGAATGACTATAAAAAGTACAACTGGCACAAACAAGTCTGGGAACAGTGACAATTGATTCGTTATAAACATGCAACTTGATTCGGTAGCAGCAGAAACATATGGGCATCACAGAGAGCAGCCCCTTATTAGCCTTCAGAACCCTGGGGACTGTGGGCACCTTCATGTTTTGCAGAGAAAATATATGGAATCCATTAACATGGCTGGTTGGTTAAGTGGAAGTCAAGTGAGAGAGCTTCCGTGTATAGGACAGCACAAACCATGCACACTGAACTTTATGACCAATTTTCAGGGTGATTAAGGGATTTTCAAAGGTAATTTGGACGACATATAATCTTTACCTTAATAAATGTGGACCCCAGCCCCCACATTAGACACAACTCCACTAATGAGGATGTTTGGGTAGAAGGTGATAATATGGAAGGCATTCTACAAACGAGTCAGATTTGAAAGGAAGGGCTTTGAACCACAAAAGGCATATCCTTCCTGGTGGCATGTTTATTCTAGACCCAGGAGATGTCTCATTGAAATCTTTAATTCCAAAATTCTTCCTCATTCATTTCTTTTTTTTTTTTTATGATTTTTTTCCTTTTTTTTTAATGTTTATTTTTGAGAGAGACAGAGTGTGAGTGGAGAAGGGGCAGAGAGAGAGAGGGAGACACAGTATCTGAAGCAGGCTCCAGGCTCCGAGCTGTGAGCCATCAGCACAGACATGGGGCTTGAACCCATGAGCCGGGAGATCATGACCTGACCCAAAGTCGGCCACTTAACCAACTGAGTCACCCAGGTGCCCCATTCCTCATTCATTTCTAATCCCAGACTAGCTTCTCCCCAACTGTAGCTGGTGAGTGGGGAATTTGGCTGTCTCCAGCCCTATTATCAAAAACGATGCCTCCCCCCCAACCCCCGCTCAAAAAACGAGAGAGGCAAATCTGGTAAGAAGAAAGGAAGGAGGGGAAGGAAAGGTGTTTTCCAAAGCCAAGGAGACACGGTGTGAGGCCACATACTGGCTTAGATTATACATAGTTCTCCTTTCTCCTGAGAAAAGATCATCTCACCTGGAAAATGTCAGAACTCAGTGGAGTTTCTTTTCTTGAAGCTCCCAGAGTGACTAAATGGGAAAAGCACTTGGGTTGGGGAGGTTAGCTAAAGAGAGCACGGCGTTGGCAGACCTGGGTTCCCAGAAACTTCAGCTTAAACTTGAACTTGAGCTCAACCTTTATCAGCTTCCACGACCTCATCCGTGGAAGGGGTGCAACTTCTGCCTCTTCCAACATCAGACTCCTCGAATGAAGTGTAGGGAAACGACCCATCGGATAGAGGTGCTCTCCGGAGATGTCCCTCGCCCCCAGCCAGCCCCCTATCCCAGTTTCTCTCTCCAGAACTCTCAGAGCTACAAGTTTTTCGACTTCCTGACCTGACTGAGGACGAACTTTGGCAATGGGGCTTGGCTGCAGTCAACAGGTGCAGAATACAGCTGATCTCTTTCTAGTTTCTAGCATCCTAGTTTCTGGAAGGGAAGGGGCACTGAAGCAGCAGGCTCCTGAGGCTATGGGTTGTGAAGGGTGTTCTGTTAAGGTGCAGTGCAGGAAGTTAAGGGGGAGATGAGACTCGGGTGGCCTGAGGAATCCTCTCTGGGTCGACTCCAGCACACCCAAGACGGGCTGCCCCCACCACTACCTCGTGGTTCCCAGCACCTACTGCACCCACCCTTCTCGAATGCCGGCCCCGATGGGCTCAAGGAAATCCAGGAGACCCTGTCACTTCCCACTAAGGGGCTGTTGGGGCTCAGAAGCCAAAAGTGACACAGGGACGGAAACAGAAATAGCTAGTGTTTGGCTCCCTCCCCTCCCAACATTGACCATCCAAGCCAACCAGGCCCTTTGGGTTGGGGTTTTATTGTCACTCAGGCAGAGCTTCAGCCAGGACGGGGTGACCCCAGATGACACTGCGGTCAAAGCCCAAAGAACACCAGCCGTTGCCCTGGAGGGATGCAGTGACACCCCCAGCTTGGTCCCTCCGGAATCTGCTGCCCCGGAGCTGGGCTGCGTGGATATGGGCCCAGTCTAGTGCCAGCCCGACTCTGCACTGAACAGGAAGGTTCCTCCTCTTGACCTTCATGACACATGGGGCTGCAGGGCTCTGGGGGTGGGCTGGCTGCACCTCCCCTCTGCTCGAACTGCCCTCAGCAGCATGGCTTTGAGGGTTTGGGAGCAGCTCCTATGGGGCCCAGATGCAGTGGCTGATGAACAGGCTCCTGCTTTACACCTATTGTCCCTGATGTGATTATTAGCAATGCTCCCTCTCATTTTGTTTCTTTTTTTTAAATGTTTCTTTATTTTGACAGAGAGAGAGAGAGAGAGAGAGAGAGCGAGCAAGAATCCCAAGCAGGCTCCTCACTGTCAGTGCACAGCCCCACGTGGGGCTCCGCCCCATGAGCGGTGAGATCATGACCTGAGCCAAAATCAAGAGTCAGACACTTAACCGACTTCCCTCTCACTTTGTTTCCTAATCATCTGGTCCCCGCACTCCTACTGATGAGTCGTAACCTGACAGCCAGGCAGGGCCCAGCCTTCAGTCCCTCCTACACTTGGGGCCTTAGACCACCGTGCTGAAGGTCTGGGAGAATGGAAGGGACCATCTCCTGGACACAAGCTGTGACTGGGGACTAGGGGGTTGGCATGGAAGAGCCAGTGAGTCCGGTTCTGTGACCACAGATTCAGAGGGAAGCTCTTCCCGCTTATTGCTGTCTCAGACTCGGTGTCCTGACACTTGAGGGTCTGTGCTGTCCTCAGTCCGGTCCTCCCTACCATGGGCTCTGGGACACACGCATTAATGTCTGCAGGATACTGCTCTGCCTGGACTGTTCTGATGGAGCAGCTGCCTGAAAGAACAAGAAACACATACCCCTCATATAGGGCCTTCCTTATACAAGGGAAGATCCTACACACAGGATCTTCCCCTATACAGAGATCCTACCCCATCTCAACTCTTACTCCCCCAGACTGACCGATAGCTCGTGACACTGGGTAGAAACTTGGGGGAAATCCGTGCCGGTTCTAGGCTGTCTTCAGGAATCTTGCTGGTCAGCATGGTTGATGTAGCAGAAAACCCAGGCCTTGGACATGGGAACAGAGGAAACTGGGTTCAAGTTAGGGTCGCCGGATAAAGCACAAACCAAAATTTGCATGGGATATGTTTATCCCACACCACATAATTTGTTGTGATCTGAACTTCAAAGTGAACTGGGCATCCTCTATTTTTATTTGCTGCCGCAAATCCTAACTCCACACCAGATGTGGGTGCTCCTCCAAAACTTCTGGAACCTGGGTGTCCTTTTCGAGAACATGGGGGATGCCGAAAGCGGCTCTGTACGCCTCCCCCCACCCCCACCGAAAGGTGTGTGGGTGTCAGAAGGGAGATTACATGAAGACTGAATTTGTAAACCGTAACACCGCTTGACACATGCAAGAGATTAGTCCTTAGGTGGGATCCACTAAGAGCTTCTGGGTTCAGGCACAGTTCGGGCTCAATCCGTCCCGATTTCCAATCCCTTGATAAAAACGTGCTCTACCTGCCTCAGGACTCATCCTAGCTGGAAATCGCATCAGTAGAAAACTTCTGAATCGTAGAGATTTGGTGGGAGTGGAGGGGTCATCCCGGGCCCTTCAGAGCCTGTCATTCACCCTGGAAAACACTCAGATTAGGACCCGTTGAGCAAAGTTTTGTAGGTTTGTGGTAAAGTGCTGAAGAGCTACAAGGAACACCACAGGACCCAAGGTGAAGAGCAGCCATGACCACCCCAGGCCTGAACGGGCAAGAGGAGAGGAGGAAGTTACTGGAACCCGCAGAGAAGGCTGGATGGAGAGGGAGATGTCACACGGGGCCAGTCGGGAGTCGGAGAAGCACCATCTCCCACACTGGGCCTGGCTTGCCTTCCGTCCTCGGGTCCCCTGTCTGGGCTCCTGATGGCCCAAATTCAGCGGGAAGTCAGAGGGCACTGGGGTGCAGCCCATGAAGGCCAACCTCCCCCGGGGGCCCAGAGCGAGGGGGACAGGATGGTCACGTGGGTGCCGGCAGGCCCACAGCAGTGCTTACGTGTGTGTCTTCCGATGTTGACGTCCCCATAGAGTTCCACTCTTACTCCCTTCTGGATGTTGATAGAGTGGAATTAGGCCCCGAGAGGCTCGCTGGGAGCCTCCACCAGAATAGGTGGGATTTTCCGGTGTATTCGAGAATTTGAAAGGTCTTTGACTTTCTGTTGCCTGCAATCTCCTGTGCCATCTAGAGCCGCAGGACAATGACAGCAGCCGACCTTTGTTGTCCACCACATACCACACCCAGCGCTGTGCGGAAGGCCTTTGCTGCACCTAGTGAATCCTCAGGGCGGCCCCGTGATCAGGAATTTCACCTCCTCCCATTTACCAGAGAAGGACACATAGACACAGAAAGGTGAGGGGACCTGCCGGCTAAGTGCCAGAGCCAGAAGTGGACCCCAGGCCTGCCTGGCCTCACTGCCCCCCCTTCCCTTTTAACCACCAAGCAACCTGCTGGAGTTCAGACAATGCTGGGTGTTTGGGGAGGCCTCCACATTCTGGGCGGGCGCAGGCCAGGAGGGAAACGTTGCTTCCGGATAACGATGGTCACGGGGTGGACGAACGTTTTCCCTAAAGGGCCAGATGGTAAATATTTCGGGCTTTTCGGGGTACATGGAGCCTGTTCTAGTAAGGAAGCGGCCCAAGATGATACATGAATGAATGTGAGGCTGTGTTCCAATCAAGTTTTCTTTATGGACGCTGAAATTTGGATTTTATACATTTTTTAAATTAATTTTTGAGAGAGAGAGACAGCGAGACAGAGTGCGAGTTGGGGGAGGATAATAGAGAGAGGGAGACACAGAATCCGAAGCGGGATCGAGGCTCTGAGCTGTCAACACAGAGCCCAACGTGGGGCTTGAACGCACGAACTGCGAGATCATGACCTGAGACGAAGTCGGATGGCCAATCGACTGAGCCACCCCGGCACCCCTGAAATTCAAATTTTATATAATTTTCACATGTAATGCGATATCATTCTGGTTTTTAGTCTTTCTGAATCATTTAAATATGTAAAAATCCGGGGCGCCTGAGTGGCTCAGTCTAACTTCATGAGTTCGAGCCCCGCGTCGGGCTCTGTGCTGACAGCTCAGAGCCTGGAGCCTGCTTTAGATTCTGTGTCTCCCTCTCTCTCTGCCCCTCCCCCTCCCTCTCAAAAATAAACACACCTGGAACCTCAGAATGTAACCTTATTTGGAAGTAGGGTCTTTGCAGATATAATTAGTTAAGATGAGGTCATACTGGAATAGGGCGGGCCCTAAACCCAGTGACTGATGTCCTTTAAGAAGAGGGGAGGACACGGGGAGACACAGAGAGAGAAGACCATGTGAACACAGACCAGAGTTCAGAGTGGTGCATCTGTTAGCCAAGGGACACCACGGACTACAGGGGCCACCAGAAGCTGAAAGAGGGAAGGAACGAGCCTCCCCTAGAGCCTTCAGAGGGAGTGTGGTCCTGCGACACGTTGATTTTGGACTTCCAGCCACCAGAACGGGAGAGAATAAAATTTTGTTGGTCTCTGCCACCCAGTGTGCTGCAGTCTGTTATGACAGCCCTGGGGAACGAATAATAAGCCCTCCTGGGAGCTCCAATGTGTGTGTGTGTGTGTGTGTGTGTATGTTTTAATTTTTTTAAGGTTTATTTATTATTGAGAGACAGAGAGAAAGACAGAGCATGAGCATGGGAGGGGCAGAGACAGGAGGAGATGCAGAATCCAAAGCAGGCTCCAGGCTCTGAGCTGTCAGCACACAGCCCGACGCAGGGCTCGAACTCACCAACTGCAAGATCATGACCTGAGCTGAGTTTGGACGCTCCACCGACTGAACCGCCCAGGAGCCCTCCAGTGTGTGTGTTTTATCTTGGAGGGTTTAGATTGAGTAGCCTCGCACAGGCTGACAGTGTCCCAGGACCAGGCACCTCCCGGACCTCGGGCCTCCCTTCTGCTGCCGCCCCCAGCTGCCTTAGCTTTCTGCAGAAAAGTGCCAGCCAGCCCCGAATTAAATTGGCAACTCTGGGATGCTTGTTTTCCTGTTTCTCCCTAACCTCCCCACTTCTTAAATTGTTTCCACCTCTCAGTAAGAGCCAAATAACAGTCATTCCCTGAGGTCAGGAAAAACCCTCACCCGCCACCAACCTGCAAGATATTAATCACAGATGCCGATGACCAGTACTCCGGGGGCCTCTTACCCTCTGGCCGTTGCTGGGTAAGGGCAGAGGGAGCGGCAGGACCTGCCTGCTTTTTGGGGCCTGGCACGGTGCCTGGTATGTAGGGAGACCGCACACCCTCACAAGGCAAGGCGCCACTGTCCCCAACTTCTGCTGGGACACAGCAGTACATCCCTAGATGGAAGAAATCCACACGCAGTCAGGGACATGGATACATATGAAAGACAGCTCACGCCTTAGCCCAACACTTTTGCAGGTGCTTTGCATAAATTAACAAATTCTTACAAAGGCAGGAGCTGAAACACAGAGAGGCCAGGTAACCTGCCCAAAGTGACAGGGCCGGGGCCCCCAGTGGTATCCCCAATGCCTAGGACTGCACCAGCCAAAACACCATGTGCTCCAGCATGAAGAGAGCTCCTCGGGGTGAAGGGAGCTGCCCACAGTCCTGCATGAGACCCGGAACTGGAGCCTGTTCCCCGACTCCCAGGCCTGGACGACTTCCATTCCACTGGCTCTTCCTCAGAGAAAATGATTGCTCTGGTTCACGGCTCCTGGGATGACACTGAAATACAGCTGGCAACCTTGTCATTGTTTACTCTAGTGGCATGTATTGTACAGGGATTTGGTCAATAGCAGGGAAGATCCGGAAGGCTCTAGAAAAAGGATGGAAATGGTAGGAAGTCAGAGAAGCCACCTCAGAAGTAGCCCCGGTGGTCATTTCTTGGAAGGAAACCGGTGGGGGAGGGGCCGCCCCGCAGGGGCGGGGCCGACGGAAAGTGACCACACCTGTTTGCAGTTTTCCAGCTCCCCTCTCTCCACCTCTCCTCACCCAGCCCTCTGTAATCAGCCAGCTGTCTGTGTTTGTTAGGCCTCATCCTCCTGCCTAGACCCGTCCTGCAGACACCGGGCCCTGAATCACAGGCGGGCTCCTTTCTGTGGCCTCTTGTCAGCTCTTGGGGTGAGGAGTGAGTGGAGTTGTTTCTCTCATGACGCCATGACGTCACCTGGGGGTGGGGGGAGTTGCTGGGGTCCTGCCCCAGGGAGCTTCCTCTGCACTGCCCGGACTTGGGGGAGGGGGAGGGAACACCCTCGGCGGCCCCCCGGGAGCGGGTAGCAAGGACAAACAGGAGAGGAGCAGGCTGAGTGTTAAGGGACACACAACCATGCACAGTGACAAGATGACAACTGACGCTCGACCTCTGAGGAGAGAGACTCAGGAAGTGGGTCAGCTCAGAGTCTGCTGCCTCCCAAAAGGGGCAGCTCTCCCTGACTGCTACGACTGGACTGGAAAGGGGTGAGGTGGGGAGAGAGACCAGTACTCCAGGCTCTTTGGATTCTTCAAGAACCAGAAATCCCAATTTTATGTGAATCCCCTTATGCTTAAATACTATATATATAGTAAGCGTCGTTGTGGTGTTGTGGCCGGTCATATCTTCCCAAAATGATTGCAACAGAGCTCCCATCTCTCACACTCCCCTTATAATGTAACTTCGACATCCCTCCACCAACGGTGGAGCCAGTGTTCCCTCCCCTTAATCCTGGGTGGGAAGGAAATGTGATTCTAGCAGAAGGGAGTCGACGTGACTTTCAAGATCATTGTTACAGGATGAACTGCGCCACCCCAAAAGATATCCCCAGGGCCTACCCTCCAGGACCTGTGGATATGACCTTTAAAAATAGAGTCTTCACAGATGATCAGGTTAAGATGACATGGGTTCTAATCCAAGATGATCGGCATCCTTATAAAAGGGGGAAACGGACAGATGTGCATGGAAGGAACACAGCGTAGAGATGTAGGAAGAGGGCCAGGGAAAGACAGAGGATTAGGGTGATGGATCTACAAGCCGAGGGATGCCCGAGTCCACCAGAAACTAAGAGAGAACATGGAACAGCTTCTCCCTTACAGCCTCAGAAGGAACCAGCCCTGCTGATGGCTTGATTTTGAACTTCTAGCCTCCAGAAGTATAAGAGAATGAATTTCTATTAAGTCATCACTCTGCAGTAGTTTGTTATGACAGCCCTCGGAGACCAATACAGTCATAAAAGATCATATGGTTTCTGTCTGGTTCTCTTGGGACACATGATCTTGGCACTTGGCCGCCATCTTGTGAGGAAGCCCAAACCATCCCACGTGGAGAAGCCACACATAGGTGCTCTCGCTGATAGCCAGCATTAACCACCAGGGTGAAGGTGATCCAGTCTGATGCCAGCCCCCAGCCACTGAGTCACACCGCCCATACCCCCTTCCTACCCTGCCTTCAATCTTCCCAGCTTCGACCTCTTACATCATGAAACAGAAACTAGCCATTCCTTCTGTGCCGGTTCTAAATTCTCGAGACCCACAGAATCCAGAAGCATAACGAATGGCTGCTTACAAGGAGTCTGTTTTGCAGTAGAAGGAACTGGAACAGCTG